CATAAGAGGGCACAAAAGAGTTTCATTTTGCTCAGAGGGATACTAAATTAGAGAGGAAATGGGGAGCAGAATTTTTATTTTCTTTGTGGATTTTCCTTGCTTGTGATTCTCCACTCACCCCTTCCCTCTGTATATAATGATCTTTAAAACACGTTTGTTTACATTTTATTCTTTCCGTGTATCCATTTTGCCTATCAACAGCAACTCTAGGCGTATGGACAATTACAAAAACAAAACAAAAGCCCTCAACCATACAATAATGAAATACACTCAGCATCCAAATGATCCTACCAGGACCCAATTCCAGCTAGAACCTTCCACTCTGAACCAACACCCTTTTGAAAAGCGTTACCCCGTAGGGCTCTGAACTGTAATAGTCATCATAATCACCTGAAGTATTTATTGATCTCAAATGCTTTTCTTAAGAGTCCGTATTGGTGGTATTTAAAAAATATTTCAGTGTGTGTCCAGTTGTGACTAATTTAGTACACAGGCTACTTTGTATATTTTCCATCTTTTCTTGTATTGGGGGGGGGGGCGGGGAGGTGGGGCAGGATATGAGAAATGTAATGACTTTGTAATTGTTTATGTTCTGGTTTTCAGTCCTTTTTAAATAGTTAAAAACTATCGTCCACAGTTCTGAAACACTCAGTCAACATGAGTGCTTTTGTGAGTAGCCAGATTTAAGCCAATAGGAATGCTCATATAGGTTACTCATACAGGTTAGTGTTTGCAGGAGGCCTATGATTTGATCAAGGGCCTTACTGATCTTACAGTCATTACTCAGCAACATGACCATTGTCTTCTCATATGGGACTTTGGCCTAATGAATGCAGGCTGACCACTTTGAAAGCAATGGGAGGTTTGTCATTGACTTCAATGGGAACAGGATCAGGCCACAAAACTGTGATCTCTAGTGCAGTGTCAGTAGTTAAAAGATTGAACTGTTTTCAAAAATGTATTCCTACCATTGGAAAGAAAAAAATAATTGCACATTGTCTACACTCCAAACCCCTCTTTTTAATAAATTCAGGATTTTCTGTTTGTAGCCTGAGTGGAGTCAGGGTAGCAGCAGCAGCCTGAGATGTGAACAAATGGAAATCTATGAATGCTAAATACTTTCCAGGGAACAGTGCTTGGTTTATTAAAGACAAACACAGCTCCCGCCTAGCTTTGGTGCTAGTCTCTCTCTCTCTCTCTCTCTCTCTCTCTCTCTCTCTCTTTTAAAAGGCTTGGTGCAGCTTGTCAAAGGAGGTATTTCTCTCTTTCCCCTCCACTTCCCCCCCTTAAACTGTATATAGGACTGTTGTATTTTTTCTTCCAGCTTAGGTTGAGAGACTATATCTAGAATTGTATTAGCAATTCAGCTAGGCTTTGTTTGCTATTGTCTAGCCATTCCTACCTCCCTTACTCTCACCCAAGACTTATTTTGCTCCTATGGCTCTGATCAGGTGCTGAGGATGTAGCTTTTCAGTTTCACCCCATTAGATATGATTAACTAGTATTGTTCATTTTCAATACTCCACTTCTTGTTCACATGGGACAGAGCCCCAGTAATATGAACCTGAAGTAATCTGACTCCAAAGCTGCCTCCCTGGCAAGGGCCATCCGCAGAGGCATCAGTGCAACTAAGATTCAGTCCCAGGCATCTCTTTCACTGGGCTTCTAGGGGAAGTGGGGAGGGTGAGAACATGGGTCTGTGTGGCAAGAAATATGTAACAAAAGAAACTTCATTCATGTTATTTCCTGATGTTCCAGGGGGAGGGAGGAGATAGATTCATCATCCTACTTATATCCGTTTGCTTTTATGAAATTTTTTTTAATCTGTTCACTATATTGAAGTCTGGATTAAATAAATTTAAGAAAGAACGTACACTCACACAATTGGCCCCTACTTTGCCATCAACCAAGTGATACAATGGTATTTACTGTAAACCTAAAGAAGGATCAGCCTTTCCACTCCGGTGTATATATTGTGTACATACACTAGATCGGTATGGTGTGTACATACATCTTATGTACAGTGTGTATCTATATAAAACATTTGTATTTAGATATTTCTATAGACATAGTATTAATGTAGGATACAACTGCAACATATTAGACGATCAGAAAAATGTAGGTCTACTGTTCCTAGGAAAAGTTACCTTTTTAAAATGATTATATTCTCTTCGTCTTTCCAACAACCGTCACTACTTCACAGCTACAGAATAAGATCCCATACTTTCAAAAATACGAACAGACCTCACGTGTAATTCGTAATGTGTCCCCATGTGGAGTGGGTATACACATATGTATAATACACACACCCCAAAATCAAGTTCCATATTTTTCCATCAGTTTCAGTTAAATCCCTATCGCTACCTATAAATCTTCCTTAGGGCGAGGAGAAAAACCAAACAGCCATTCCAGCATTTCCCCCAGCCCTACCCCAGAAACGCGCTGTCTCGAAACCCTAGCCCAGCTGGGCTGCAGCAGGAGCAGGCAATGCCTCCATATTGCACCATCAACTACACACAACCCCAGCTAGGCAGCGGCCCTCCGGAGAGCCAAGCGCTTCTCCGGCTGGAGAACACTGCGAAAGGATGGACCAGACCGTTCCGAACGGAGACCAGAGGTGACGAGAAACCCGCTGAGCTGGGTTCAAGGAGTTGCTAGTAGATTTGTGCCTATTGCCCGGGGCGGGGAGAGTTCAAAACCAAACAAAACAAAAAAAAACCCTCGGCTTTTCAGTGAATCTCCTTCCAGAAGCTTTGGGGGTCCTGAAATACCGGGATCGCTATTAAACCCCAAATAGAAGATTAAATGATCATAATAAATAGGGTCTAAAATGAGCCAAAGGCCGGAGCTGAGGTTTGTTTTAAATGTCCCAGTTTATACACCACGCAAATAACGCAACATTTTTTTTTGTAAAAATGTTTATTTAAACCTTTTTTTTCCTTTTACAACAATAAAATATTGCGTCAATATAAACCCCTGGACTAAAACTGGTCGACGATCAAACATTACAGCGAATCGTGTATTTTTAATTTTTTTACACCCATTTCGGCTTTTGGAAACCATTTTTTTTAAACATAACGTGGAATTTATTGAAAATAAATAATCGTTGGCAACGGCAATAGGCAATTTTGAATAAAATAGTTGAAAAAAGCAACCTTTAATGAAAATAGCGTTTATTATACATCAGTTACTAAATGAATAAACTAAATGATCTGTCTTTAAATTAATAACTTCCAAAAAACGTTTAATATACAAAACTGTACAGGTATAAAGTTGGCAGAAATAGTCAGGTCCTCAGTGTCGAGATTTTAGCGCTTACTGAAAAATACTTGAAAAATATAAATGTCAAAATGAAAATCTTAATGCTGGGGAGGAGGGGGGAGGATCCGGGGAGCGAGGTAATGCAATTTGCCAATATAGCTGCAGCTTCTGGGATGCAAAGCGGCAGCAGGGTCAACATGGGCCTTCCGTCCTAGCTAGCAGTATGTCTCCCCTCCCAGAGCTCAGCCGAAAACTGCGGGAGGCAGGGCTGGCTTGCCTTTAGGTAGAATGGTTTTGTGTGTGGGTCTCCAGATAGCGAGCTGTGTGTGCGAGTGTATAAATAACACAATATTATATACACACGCACACAACCAGGCGAGAGTATCCCGCCTCTATGGAGACAGTCATTTTACAGTGTGTTTGGATCAATATTTGTGTATTGTGTGTGTTTAGAATGTGTGATTTTCCGTGTGTGTGTGTGTAGCTGGATATATACACACGTCTGTATACACTCACACATATATAGTATGTATATACATATTTACACACATACATACTACATATCTGTGTACACACACAGAATACATCTCTACTGAGGGCTGGGAAGAAGGGAAGAATACAGCACCGCTCCTTCATATGCCAGAAAAAATGGTTACACTTTTTTAGCATTTTTATTCACTTGCCTTTTTTGTTTATTTATTTAATAAAAAGCTTTTCAACAAATCTAGCATGTCCCTGTGAGACGAAAATAAGCTCAGCATGAAACAAAGGCGGGCATTTCCCCGAAATTCATTGAGACACCTCAGAATCCCTCTTTAATATTGAAACAAAAACACAGAGAAACTGATTTCTGAAGCCAAAGCGCAGAATTATTAAGGTGTTTTACTACAGACCTTCGCAGTCTGCCGCTGATCAGAAGCCCAACACGTTTTCAGAAAGAAAGGAAGGGACAAATCCTTTATTTTAGTTGCAATGCTTAATTTCAGATCTCTTTTTTTTCCTCCGTGGAGGAGGGAACAGGGAGTCGGGGGATTTATTGCAGAATTTCAATCTGAACCATGTCTTGGTTTTAGGAAGTTATTTGAAAAGAAGGAAAAGCTGCAACAAATCAGTCTGTTATTCTTCACAACGTGCACGCGGCAGTCAGCTGTGTTACAGTCAAAGGAGGCACAACTTCCTGCTTTTGGGGTGCAGAAGGGGGACCTCACTCCTCTAGTATGGAATTTGGGGGAATGAAGGGAAGCGAAGGGAAGTACCCCTTCTCCCCACTACAGTAACAGTGATATGCCCATTACATGGAGGGGGGGGGGGAATGATGACTGATCAATTCGGTACAAATTATGCCACAAATATTGTGTACAGTTTGTAGTAAAACACCTCAGACATTTAAAAACGCTATATAAGTCTTTAAAAATGCAAAACTAGTCTATTGTAAAACAGATTCACCTGAAATACAGCTGATATAACCAAGGCGCTGGAAGGTTATTCATAGGCACACATCTGTCTTTTTTTTTTTTCTTCTTCCTAGTGGAGACCGAAAACAAACCTTGTTTGATAGTAAACAATATGTACTGATCAGCGAAAAGGTTTGAGAGAAAATATTGCCCAGGAGGAAGAGCAGGAAGCCCCATGCTCTAAGTCTTCGAGTATTTGTTTTTGTTTCCTCTTTAAGCATAAGTTAAAACCCTCTTAGAAAATCCGCGCTGTTCCCAGTCCTGTCTGCGAGCCGAGCCCTATAGTCAAAGATCATGGCAGGATGTGTCTGTTTTCACGTTATGAGAATAAACCTCATGCTGCTGCTGATCCCCTGGTGGAGTCATTCTTTTCTCTTTTTGTCTTCTGTTACAAAACCAGACACGCACCACTTCTTTCTCTAACTGCAGGCTGTCTGCCAAGGAGGAGATCTCTTGGGCTGCAGGTTTGGGACATTTAAGAAAATGAGTTTCCAAAACCCCTTTGACACTCACCTCTATCGAGGTTCTCTTCTTTCTTTTCCTGCCTTGGGCTGCTATTTTGTCAATACTAGTCGGGCTGCCGGTAGATGAATCTGCCTCTTCTAGCCACTTGTTTAGCAGCGGTTTCAGTTTGCACATGTTCTTAAAGCTGAGCTGCAGAGCCTCAAACCTGCAGATAGTAGTCTGGGAGAAAACATTGCCATAGAGAGTCCCTAGTGCTAAGCCAACGTCTGCTTGAGTGAATCCCAACTTGATTCTCCTTTGTTTGAACTGCTTTGCAAACTGTTCCAACTCATCTGATGTCGGCGTCTCCTCGTCAGAGTGATCCTGACAGTGATGGGAGCCTATATCTCCATGATCTGCGGTGTCCCTCAGCACTGGGTGCAAGCTTTGGGTAGTGGCTGAGGCAGGAGGTGGTGTTAGACCCCCATGGTCCAACATGCCACTGACTGTGAAGCCAGGTTGCGAGTAGACATTAATAGGCTGTCCACTGGAGGTTATCGATGAGTTATGAGCTGGACTGGCTCCCCATGCGTTGGGATGATTTGTATGGGGCGAGTGGTGAGACACATGAGGCGACCTGTGATGGATGATTGCGCCAAGCTGGAGATCTTCTCTTCCTGGCTTCACGTCTTGCTGGTCGAGGGGGCTCGTCGCTAGCGTGGAGGACCACGGAGTCCCATCACTGAGGCTGGTCACCCAGTGGTGTCCGAGCGGATGCCCATTGCTAGGAACTCCCTGTAAGTAGTCACTTTGGAGAAGTTTTTGAGGGTTTCTGAAAGGACTCCCTTGCTGCATGCCCGCAGAGTCTGCATGGACTAAGGAGCTGGAACTGAGAATGCTGTAGGGATTAGAGGCAGCTGTGGCCATGGTTGGTGTGGATCCCCTACTAGTTATAATGTGGCAAAGGGAGCAGCTTCAGCCTTTGACATCTACCAGGCAAGGGAGCCAAATCAGCAACCACTGAGTTATTGGCAGCGCTGCTGGCCAATGACAGCATTTCATCTGTCGGGAAGCTTTGGCTGCGCCAATGAGGGGTGAAGAGGCAGGTCGCGCTGTCCAAATTAGGTTTGCGAAACCCAGGAGTTAAAGTGAGTCTGAAGCAGGAAGTGAATCAATCTTTAGGCTCCATTGGTTGCTGCTAGCTGGCTGTCCACGGTTCATTTGTTTAACTCTTTCTTCACTGCATGCCAAGATTTGTTTTTAAGATCTTAGGGGAGGGGAGGGGGGATGACAGAGCATGGTTTAAATTTGTAGTGATTAATTCCAGGTACAGCAAAAACCAGAGGTTAAATGCCGGCACCGAAGACTGACAATCTATCCTTAGCACAGTTCATACGGACTCCCCAATCCGTCCAGCATTGTAAATGCAACATGAAGGTAATTGTGAGATGATAAACTATAGATTTATATAAACAAAAACACCCCACACCCAAACAAAACACCCAAACAACCCCCCTCAGACACCTAAAAGCCACCACGTCTCAATCTTTACATTTAAGGTACATATCCTATAATCAGGAAAATTAATGAATATACCCCGCCCTAAAATAGGATTTAAAAACGAGTTAAAGGGAATATTTTCTAGAGGGCAGAGCTTTATTACAAATTTATTTTTTTTATTTTGTTGTTTGTTAACCAGCTGTCAAACTCTTCCCTGATTTAAATACAAATTTTGCAAGCTAGTAATATCATTCAGTTATTCTCAAGTTTACCTCCCCGATCGTCTGGTCAATTGGGGTCCTTGCTTTTATGCCTATTACATGTCATTTCATATCAGCAGTTCGACAACTTCTAAATCCCACAGCCACTAAGCACTCCTTCTAGGACGACACACTTCTGCAAGGCTCCAAAATATGTACAATATATTTCCTCTTTCCGGATAATTTAGTTCATTGGGATACGTTTTGCCCATTTAGGAAATAAAAAGGTGCTTTCCAATATTTGTTTAAATAAATTATAATGATTTCTCTTCTCCATCAAAGTTTGAAATAGAAAAAGAAATTAATGAGGTGTATCTTCACTAAACACTATCCTAGGTATATGAATTTTATGTTGCTCGGTGCAAGAAAGAAAAGGGAAATATATTTTGGTGACTAGGCAAAACAATGAGAGTGTGAGAGAGAATGGGAAATGTTAAATTTTCTCTCAAGTTCAATTTCAAATCATCTGTAAGTTAGGGTGGGGGGAAAACATTGTGTTTCATGCTTCCTCTTTCAAATGTTCTGCTAAGGAGTAGAGTTAGACAAATCTGGGTATTTCAGATTTCTTGTAGTGCTCAAGCAGAGAAAATTAAACACCTAATACCTTAGAAAATCTCTGAAGTTAAAAAATGACCTTTCCTTGCATAATTTTGGAGGTAACCTAGCTGCGTAATTATATTTGCACTTACAGAAGACTGCATCAGAGTTCCCTTATTGGTTTGAAATTCCATTAAATATATTGCAAGAGCTCCTAGGTTAAGCTTGATTTAAATTTGCATACATTTTCATATATTTAGCAGAAATAAAAGAAGGCTTGCAGCTACCAGAAAGTCATTAAGGCATTAGTTTCTCTGAGAAGACAGATCTGGAGAAAATTCAAGAAAATGAATCTCTCTGTCTCTATATATATAAACAAGGTGAGCTTTCCTCTGATTCCTTTATAGCTAAGCAACATCAGTTTCTTCATTATAATAATAATAATAATAATTTCTCATCGAAGCCTAAACCAGCACATCTGATATTTGTAAATGTGAATGTAATTATTAAAAAGATGCGTGTGGTAAATTGTTTGAAATAGATTTCGATATTTCTAAAAAATAAGTTATGGAGAAAGATGCTCATTTCCTCTGTGTTTTCTACCGAATTAGGAATGTGCTTTTACATAAAGGGCAATGCCATTCTTGTATTGATGGTGCTCCATTTTCAGGGTTTTCGCCGCTTTTAACCTAGATGTTTATTGTATTGTATCTATTTGTTTATTTTGAGGCCACTTTTGCAGCGAAGTGGGGTCCCTGCCCCCTTTGAGAGTTGCGGTGCTGTTGGTGACTGCCTCTAAAATCGAACTTCGGGAAACTTTTCAGGTGCAGGGGAGGCGGCTCGCTTGGAAAGTCGTTGGAAAGCGTGTTGTGAAGGGTCAGTTGAGAGGTCAGAAGATGAAAAATGTCTCTGCAAAAGAGAACGATAGCCCCTTTGCCCATTTCAAAGCGACATTTCTGACGGCAAAATTCCTAGTCAGACTCCAGCCATTCAGACTGCAGTTGATCATATGTATGGAAAGATATGAAAATAGACTACACAAGACTTTTAACATAAATATTACCGGTGCCTGATGCCTGGTGGTGGTAGTGGGAGAGAACTAATACTATTTAACTAAATTATTTAAAATTAATTTGCACTCTAGATTCTAAAATATTTTTTCCAGTCCTCCTGCTCTTGAAAATGAATGTTCAGAGGAGCCGTTTAATTAAAGTCGAGCCTTTAACGGGGAAATAAAACCCTGAATATCAGATTTTAATATTTTTTTAAAAATGTAACCAAGCCAGAAGCCAGCGCCATAACGGTGAGCTCCTGGTAGACTCCGATCTCGCCTATAGGAGAATATGCTTTATTTTAAAGTCTTTTTATCTGCATATAGTTAAATCTTCTTGCTGTTCTAACTAATCTGCTGGAGAGGGTTTCTTTAGCTCTTTCCTGTCAGTCTAACTTCCCAAGTGTAACAGATGCCGCTCTCAAGCGGTCCTTTCTGCTGCTTTTCTTTATTCAGCCTCGCATATTTCTCCCCATGATCTGGGTTTCCATAGAGAGAGGAATAAAAGGGGGACCATGGCCACAAATCCCCTGTCCCATGCAGAATAAAAGAGCCTTATTCAATAGACGACCCCGTCTGGACATGGGAGAAAAATAAGTACATGCAAAGCTACTGTTGCAAGAATTTGTAACTTATTTTTCATAGACTGAGACCCATTAAAGTACTAAAAGTTTCTGGGTCTGGACTCTGCTCTTCAGCTGTTTGGCTAGAGATGCCTTTTCACTCGAAAGATCCATGTTTACCCAACAAATAACTAGATTTAATATTTTTTTCTGCTAAATCTCTGCCATGAATAACAATAGCTCAAGGAGCCTGCCGCTTTGGGGAAGCTAGAAGTCGCTATAGAGAGAAACCACCATTGAAGTAGAGGAGCTGTAATTGTGTCGAGTCCACACACTTTCCAAAGGAAAAGGCAGGACCGTTGAGTTTCTCAGGTCACCTCAGTACATGGCTCAAACTTTCTTTCTGGTGGTTATTGGGCTGACGGCGGTACCAGCCAACAAAGCGTTAAATCAAAGTCTGCAGGGCGAGTGGATTTGCAACTCCTTGTTCTTGTGGGCACTTGTAATAAAGCTTGTCGTGGGCGCCTCTGTTAGAGGAGAGGAATGGCTCGCCAAAGCCAGGAAACACAGGTTTCCCTTTAAGAAGCGGTTACTGTAAAACAATGCGTGTGTGTGTGTTATAGCTATGTCTATAGACACATGTATATAGTATAATTCGCTGACAGGAGCTATCCAAGGAGTACTGAGACTGGGTTTATTATCCTGGCGAGATTTGATTCTATTTTAGAGATGTTGCCATTATTCATCTGCAGGGGGAAAAGTGGTCTAGAAGGGGGTTCGTTTTGATTGTGTTTAATACAGCATGAAGCTCCAGGCGGTAAGCTCTGGCTCAGTGTCGTGACCCCTACATTGAAAACTTCACCTTCAACACAAGTTCACTTTAGAGACAGTTCGAGTTAGATTGGACTTGGTGGGAACAAGTTTACATTTCAAAACAGAATCAGTCATAACGGGGCCTGGGGGATGGGAGGGACAAGTTAACTGTTTCTTACATCAGGAGTGAAGTTTTTTAATTGTGTACACTGAGGCTCGTGTTGAACCCCCGCTCACCAGATGGATAGCTGAAAACAGGCTACTGTACCTCCCGAGTTAGCCTTCTAAAAACCCTGCCTGCATGGGGGAAGGTAAGGAGGAAAAGGAGAATTTACAGAGTATTACCAGAAATTAGCCAATACCGACACAAGCCCAATTAATTCCCTTTTTGGGTCTCTGTTGGCTGTTCTCGAACGTGAGTAAATGCTGTGCTGGGAGGGAGACACCGCATAGTGCGATCTCAGCACCACAGCCAGGCGAAGGACAGACACTGCAAATTAAAATATTCCTAATGTAAGTTTTAACGCAACCCCCCCAAATCTCTAGGAACACGAGCCCTTCAGTAATAGCCCCAGCACTGACGGAGCATTGTTGTGGTGGGGGTTGGTTCTGCATTATGGACAGAGGATGGGGAGGGACAATAAAGCAAGTCACTGGCAGAGAAAACCACAAGGTAAATAACATTTGTATTCTAACCGCTGCATTCTCCAAATCGGTTTCATGCGACTCCTCGCCGCTCTGCTCGAGTCACCTGTTATTTTCACTGGTCCATTGTTAATGTCTGAAAAATGTACTTGCCGGCAAAAAGAAAACGTGTTCATTTGTGCACCATCACGTCTTGTGAAGGTCACTGTGATTTTTGGCTTTGGTTAATTTGTAGCAGGTATTGTAGCTAACATTTGGTTAATTTGCCATTTAGATAGAAAATATTCTGGAGAATCTCTCTAGAGTGCAAATGTTGACACTAGAACCTGTCTTGCCTTTTATTACAATCAGAGCATTTGAACGTCGGGTTTGTTGTTCTTAATCCAGAAATATGGGTGGTAAAAAAAGGACCCAGATTTTTCGGGCTGAAGTCCTAAAATGTTTGTGAGGCTCCGGTACACAGTATTTTGAAGTGGGCGGATCAGTTTCTCAGACGTCTGTAAGTCGGTTATTTAACTCTACACCAGTTTTTAAGGTCACGTAAAGAATCGCGTAGAG